TGGCACAATAAACTATTTCACATAGCAACCCTATGCACAACAGAATGAAACAGTGCATGGTCCTGTGCCATCCTCACAGTTGTTCCTATTCCTGAGCCCATGGAAGCAACCATTGTGTCAATCCATTTCATTGAGAGCCTTCCTCGTTTTCACAGACCTTCCAGTTTACCAACACGATGTCCTTCTCCAGGGACTGGTCTCTCCTGACAGTACGTCCAAAATTTGTAAGACCAAGTCTTACCATCCTTGTCTCTAAGGAGTACTCTGGCCTTACTTCTTCCAAGACAGATTGATTTGTCCAGTAAGCAGTCCATGGTACTTACAATATTTTTCTCTAGCACTGCAATTCAAATACATCAATTCCGTCTCCCTTCAAGATTTACTGCCATGCAAGCCACTATAAGGTCACTCCCCGGAACATCATGTGTGGTAAAGTGGAGGAGCAGTGAGAAAGGGGAAGGCCCTAGATGGGATGGAACAACACAGCGGCTGCAGCAATCGACTCCAACAAACCAATGGTGAGGATGGCACAGGACTGGTGGGGTTCCTGCTGTGGTGCATAGGGCCGCCACGAGTCAGACTGCTTTATCTGCGTGCAATGGCAACACAAGTCAGGGCTGACTCAGCGGCAGTGGCTATAGATAGACCAGTCTCTGTGGAACCACACCAAGTCATACCGATGGACCACAATGGCGTAGTTCACAATGTATTTAATTTTTTAAAAAAACACCTCTTATTTTGAATTACGTGGATACCAACCAGATTATAGATTATAGTTAGACATTAAAAAGATTCATATACTTTCTGATTCAACCCATCCATTGCAGTACAGTAGAACCCCAGACCTTGACGCGAATTTGTTTTAGAAGGAATGTCGAGCTGTGATGCGTAAGAAATAACTGAAAAACAGATTAATCTGTTCTCGACCATAAGAAATAACTGAAGACAGATTAATCTGTTCCCAACCACCAAGTATGTACCCTAAGCTTGCCTTTTTATACAAAACATTACACGGAAATTTCAAAGTAAACAAGCTGAGTTAAATAATATAATTTAAATAAGAAACACAACATTAAAAAAAAAGAAACAACATTTTAAAAAGTATTTAACAACTATAGTGTGGCCCATACCTTGAGACGGATGAGGATCTGGATCTATGGACATGGATTTGGAAGGAGAATCCCCTTCCATCAAATCCACTGGTAGCTGCTTTTCAACAGTTTTTCCCTTCTTTGCCTTTTTTTCACTAGGACCTGGCTGGCTTTCTCTGAAAATTTATCTAATGTGGTCTGCTGTTGGCACTTCCTTAAGTGTTTTCTAAATTATCATCAACAATATTGACCACACGGTTAACCAGTTCCTTATCATAATGATTCTTTTTTAAAAAACCTCTTTCTTAGACCCGTTTTTTTTTTTTTATCTAAAATCAGTACAAAATGCCACCAAAACAAAGAAAATTATAGCAAACTGTTTGGAAAACAACCACAAAAGGTACGAATACGCGTACTCACAATGCCAACTAACGTTGAAACACGAGCTGCTTTTGTTTACAAAAATCACGTGCGTCAGGCGGATTCCGATGTTCTGTTCGAGCTCAGATGCCAATTGTTCTCGGCATTTCACGTCGAAACCCGTTATGTCGAGTCCTGATGCGGCTGAGGACCGGGTTCTACTGCACCTTCCACGCGCCGGCGCTTCTCCCACCTGCTCCGCATCTCCTGCTTCCCTTCCGCGTCCTCGCCTAACCCTGGGCGTTGTTCGTGGCTACACGCTTCCCCTTGCATCTTAAACGGTGGATTATTCGAATGTGAAAGTGAGTTCAGTCCCAGACCTGAAGGGTCAGGGCCAGTCTTGGGGATGCTACCAGTCTCTATCCAAACACTAAGCCCGTCTTTATTTTATGATTTTGAGATCTGTTTCACATTTTTCTGACTCTACCCAGGACGTTCCAACGTGATCCTTCTCCGAATAGTTGGCAGCTGTAAGATGGGTACCACCTGGTTCTCATCTCAGGGTGGTGGAAACTAACGATGGCCTGATCCAACAGTCCTTTTATTGTTTTCACATGGTTTTCAATTTTCAAATCTCCACTTTTTTTTTTTAACACAGACCAATTTTTGCACCTTAAAAGCTGCTCATGAGCTTTTAAGACCTGTCACCAAGTCAGGATTATTTTTATGAACTGTTATTCCAATTGATCTGGAGGTCCCCTCAGACGATGGTTCTGATCTCCTAGGTCTTTTGACTCCTTGCTTCCGTGCTTGGTTATGTCTGAAGTTGTCATATCTTTGTCCCCTGGATGCTCCAGCAGTCATGGCTGTATTTGCAGTCAAAGGAAATACACATGCACAAATATCCTGTCAAGATTATCTACCATGTGTACATTCCCTTTCCCTGGCCCCCCTATTCAACCTGAGTGTGTATTCGAGAACCTACTCATAGATCCCCACTGGTGCAGGATTGAGTCTAACAGTAATTATGTGACTCCAACGCTAACTCTTGCAAATCTCTCAGATTCTTCTCATTTCCATCTTTTTTCCAAAGATAACTATTGTGTATTATCTTCCCCATCTCTCAAGCTCACGGTTACTCTCTCTAGCCCATGGCTTCCTCTCACACTGCTGATAACCATCAAAAAGTATTTCTCTTCATCTGAATGTATATTTTCGACTTTGGTAACAGAGGTCTCATAAAGGAGTCCTGTTGGTGTCGTGATCACACAACGGGCTGCTTGCTATCTGCAAGCTTGTAGTTTGAAACCATTGAGAGAACGATGGCCTTTCTACGCCTGGAAAGAGTAACCGTCTTGGGAACCCACAGGGGCAGTTCTACCCTGTCCTATAGGATCACTACGACTCAATCAGTTCAATGGTAGGAAGAGATCTCATATTTGTGCTTGACTGTCACTAAGCATAGTGTTTCAGGTTTATCTGTTGCGAGTTCTTCCCCAGATTGCTTCCTAGTACCCCACCGTGTGTATTCTAAGGTTTATTTATCCATTCTTCTATTGTGGCAGTCAGGTTGTTTCCATCTTTGTGTTAACTCCTGTGCTATTGTGAACATTGGTGTGCATGAATGTACTTATGTCATGGCTCTTATATACTAAGTGTGATCATACAGTATTTCTATTCCCAATTTTTGTGGAACTACCGTATTGATTTCCATGGGGGATGCACCATTTTATAATCCCACTAGTGTATGTGGGTTCATCTCTCATCTTGCCAGCATGTTTTTTTTCCAACTTTGCTATGATTGGATGAGGTGGTTATCACATTCATTTGCATTCCCAAATGGCTAGTGATCATGAGCATTTCATGTTTATTGGCCCCCTGAAGGCTTAATGAAGTGTCATGTCCCTGCCCATTTTTAAATTGAATTGCCTTTTTCAATGGTGGTGTTTTCTATAAACTTTAGGTTAATCCTTTGACTGAAATGTCATTGCCAAAAAAATTTTCCGTTTTATGGGCTTTTTCACTATTCTGGTAAAAAATCTCTTACTGCATGTGTCTAATTTTTAGGAGGTCCCAGGTGATCTCGTCATGTTTTTGATCATATACATATGGCCTGTCTCAGGTCCCCTACATTTGTCACTCTTTTCCCATTGATGGTCTTTAGACTTGTTTTGCATTGTCTTTGATCCAAACTGCTGACAGTGGTTTCAAAATAACCCAAAACATGTTTTCATGTGGTGCGAGATACGGGTCATTTCATCCTTCTGCAAATGGATATCCAGTTTTTCCAGCACCATTTGTTAAGAGACTTCCTCATTGAAAGTATTTTAGACCCTTTTGCAAAGCACTGCGGGTGGGTGAATTTACCTTGGGTTCTAAATGTTGTCCCATCCGTTGTACAAGTGGCAGGCTGTCCTGAGATCATGGAGTGAAAGTTGGTCTTTAGCTATGCTTTATTTGGAGCCTTTCTTTTCTGTGTAAAGTTGCTACTTTTTCCTTCTCTTCAAAGAATCTCACCAGTTAGGTTTTGTTCCTCTCAGTAATATTTTATAGTTTTCAAGTAGAGATGTTTAGTATATTTTGGTACATTTTCTTATTTTTTGAGATATTGCAAACAGTATTTTTAATTTTGATGGAGGCTAACATATCAAAGCTTAATTCATTTTATATACTAACCTTGCATCCTGTGAGCTTGCTTTATCACTTACCTTAGTAGCTTTTTGGTAAATTCAATAGGATTTTATATAGTTCCAATCATGCCCTCTGAAAACCAGTGTTAGAGGTCCTTTTGCATTATGCATCTTCTGTCTTACTGCACTAATTAGGATTGTGAGCACAATGTCCATGGAAGCAGCATCACTTTGTCCACTATATGACGGAGCTGTACATTTTATGGAAGCTTTGTCAGGCTGAGGAAGCTCACTACCCTCCCTTTAGCCATTTGACCTCAACAAAGCTAGTGGCTAACAAGGTAGTGTAACAGTAACAATGATTTTTCAAAACTAAACCCATATTACACACATGAATTAATCGTATGAATGATGTGGCCACAAATAACATATTTAAAAAGATTAATTTAGAAAAGTTCCATGTTTCAATACTTTATTACAGCTATAAAATTATAGTCTCTCTCTCTATATATAAATATACACACACATATGCATTAACACTGGGAATGAAACAGAACGTGGCAACAATCAGGTGGTGCTGTTGGAACCATTTTACTCAGAGCATGTTTAAAAGAAGGGATCACAATCAGTGGAAAATGCTTTATTGTATCATGCCAATATACTATAAAGAGTATTGAAAAATAATACAAAAAGTAATCCACAGACTTAAGTGAAGATCAAATGATCTCAAAAGATTTTCTTCCTTAGTTTTCACAGCAATTGCTATAAGTCTATAAGCTGACTTTTTCCAAGAAAGATTATTCTAATAATTTTGAGTGTTCAATCCGTGAAATGGTCCAATCGGGCATTACTCCTTGTGTAAACTCCCTGTGAAATCTAGAAAATAAAATTACAAAGAATTACAAGAAAAATGATACCTGTCTCAAGTACTTCTTAGGTAACTATGTAATTTGTAAGTATATATTCCAAAAACCAGGCCCACTCTGCTATCAAGTCAACCCCGACTCACAATGACTCAATGGGACCAAAGAACTGCTCCCAACCGGTTCCGAGGCTATAAATCTTTACGAGAATAAGCAGCCTCATTTTCCTCCACCAAGTGTCTGGTGGATTTCAACCACCTATCTTATTTATAGCCCATCACCCAGCACAGTTTCTACTTTTTACCTCTTTGAAGACAACAACCCTATAAAAACTATGAGTTACCTAAGACTATAAGCCAAAGTCACAAGGAGAGGCCCCCAAAATGAGACATTACAGTGTAAGGGAGAAGCCAAGGAACATTAAGATGTCATCATAGAAATGGATCCTTAGCTAATGTCAGGTAATGTAGACACACATTCCCCACTGAGCTCTTCGAAAATTCCTGAGCTGTGAAATTGCAGGCAACATAAATGGCTATTTGGGCTGCTAAGATGTAGGGTGGTTTGTTATGTAGCAATAAATAGCTGAAACCCCATTTAATGAAATTCAGTTATCTTTTTCTAATCTCCAAACAGTCCTGTTTCATAGCAGTGTTTCTTTGACCTTGTCTTCATAAGTCACTTGTCAAATTATATTTTTTTCCTTCTTAAAGCTGTTTAATTCCGTATTTCCAAGTTATTTTGTATTTTCTAGAGAAGACAAAGAGTAAATTATGGTTAAACTTACTCATAACTTGCACTAAGAAGTTGTTTCGTTTCTACATTCTGATCTCCCAACTTAACCTGGAATACACTGGCGCCAGTTACAGCTTCACTGGGGATATTGGCACTGGTTAGATACCAAAAGCACATCAGGATGTTAACAAACTTCCTTCCTTAGAGAAAAAACACAAACAAATACAAATCACAATATGCGATCATCCATATATCCAAAATTGACAATTGAGGACCAGATTCTGCGGTGTCCAGTTGAGAGATCTGCACTGATACGGCTTTGCTTTAAGAAAACTATATCACAGTTATGACGCCTGCATTCTTCACTGCATCTCAGTGATAGCCGCCATTTTCTAAGCACCAACAATATATGCTACTTTTATTTAGTGCCATTTTCTAAAATGATAATAATCTTGTGACAGATAAAAGTTGTCAAACCAAATTGGGAGAAAGAAAAACCCTTATTTTTTTGCTGCTAAATAACTGTCCCTCTGGATTTCTGATGCAATAATCTCTACAGGAGCAGAAAGTCTCATCTTTCTCCAAGAGTGGCTGGTGGTTTTGAACTGCTGACCTTGTGGTTAGTAGCCCAATACTTCCTGATAGCACCCACAGAGGTCCTATGAGAGAAGAAAAGGGACTAAAAGGCTCTTTCCAAATGTTCCAAAGTCACACGTGCAAGAAGTTTTTTGTTTGTTTTGTTTTTAATAATTAAGAACCCGACGTCAGAACTGTCCACGGAAGCATTTAAGGAGAGGCTGGGTTTCCCGAGTGCCCTGGAATCACGTACGCTTTTTTGTTTGTTGGTTGCTAGTTATCTGTTCTCTTTCTATTCAATCTTTTGTTTTGTCTCTGCTGTTGTTGGGTTGCCTATTTATACCAGATAGACATGGGAGCAAGCTTGAGGAGACAGCAACGGACCAACGTTCCGGAGGAAGCTGGGGGGAGAAGGAAGCAGGGGAAGGAGCAGTGACCATAAACACCATAGACAGGGTGTTAAAATCATCAATGAGGAGGACGTAGAGATCCTGAGGGGGTTGGGCAACAGCTATCTAGCGGAGAGGAATTACTAAGAGGCAGAAGAAGGGCGAGCATGATGGTGGGACAGGAGGAAGGTGAAAGGAAACAGAGGAACGACCTAGGAAGCAAAAGTATGGA